TTTACTTTTCATAATTCTACCAAGGAAATGAATATGCTGGTCAGACTTGCTCAGTATCTAAACTTTTGATGTTATTTCATGAGTGAAGTAGCCAGCGATTTTCGTCAGAGTAGCCAGCCATACTCGCCAGCTGCCGGCTACTAATGACAGCCCTGTATATAAGGAGTAGCCTTCTGCAGGAACCTTTTATTTGATGTTTTGAAGTTTATTGCATCAACATTTATTTACCCCTTGGTACAAGTAAGCATATTTTCTATGCTGCTCTCTATACATTTTGTGAGAGCTGACAAGAAGACTAACAATCAAGAGCTTCTTTCACTGGTGATTATTTCCTTTATTACATCCATTTTGAAATCACTGGTGGTCCCTGTAATCTGATTGGCTCTAATTGATGCGATTTATTCCCAAATGGCACCATTTTTTGCCCTAAATCGCATCATTTTATGCTTGACTGAGTTTTTGACACATGATGTCAGTCTTTCTGTTTTCATACAAAATAAGATGTAAAAGCATTTCCGGTTCCACTTTTTATTTAAAAACTGGCTCAGTACTGCATCAGTAAATATTTGAATTGACCAAGTCCTGCATATGGGCGATTTCAAAATGGATGTAATAAAGTGGTAACTGAACCCCGTGTCGTGCAATTTTGGTCTGAAATCATACTTGTGAGTTCAAATCGAACTCGTGCTGCGCGTTTGTTCAATTTTGAAATCATGTGTATGATTTCAGCCCAAATTGCACTCCACTCAGTTCAATTACCATTATTAATTCTCCTGACCTGAATGTGTGATTCAGGGGTAATAAGTATTGTAAGGAGAAATTACATGTTCATCGCTCCTAGAGGTTAAGGTAAAGGGTTGATAAGCATAAAAGTACCTTTGTTCTTTTTCAGAGGTCATGAGGTCTCATACCAGTGTCCAATTGGATCTGGAATTCCCTTTTTTTTTTTTTTTTATTTTTTTTACCTGAAAGGGTATTTCCCATGTTCCCATGTATTCTTGGACTTTACCCCCTTGACCCTATGCCATTGTGATCAGTCAACTGACAGCATTTGTTTCCTAAATTGTTTGAATCTATTTACATGTAACACTTGTGATACTAACAGTTCCTTATCTCCTTCTCCTCAGCAGAAGCGCCAAACGGGCAGAAAGTTGTGGGTGGACAGTCAAACAGAGGTGAAGTGGCCGAGGCAGTTTCACCACCTGATGTTTCATCCCTGGAGGACAAGATCAATGACCTTAAAGCCAATATCTCAATGATCAAAGCAATTATGGTATGATAAGAAACATGACAGCTTAATGATATGTTGCAATAATAGCAAGTATGATAGATATTGTAAGAAATATACAGCTTTTTGTATACATCTTTCAAAAAAGTTGTATATTTCTTACAATATTAATGATATGTATCATAAATTTTGAGGGAACGAGCTAGTTGGGCACAGATGGGGCCACTAAACTAATGCACGTGGATAGAGTTGTCCTTAAAAACTTGATGTACTTACAAGGGGTTTAATATGGGGTCAGTGATAATCAAGTCCTAAAGTCCATATTTTTGTTTTTGCTATTTTGTACATCTGTGGGACCCTATGTTTTGTAGACCTTCCCAAAGTCAATTGGCTACCAGAACTTTTCCTTGTAGCTATTTCTTAAATTGTTGTACCACTGTTCATGGTTACATAGGTTGAACTATTATTTCAACCAGGTGCCATAAATAAATTTGCCTCAATCTTTTCACAGACAACTCTTCAGCATGAGCTACACAGCACCAAAAAGAGTTTGAATGAAACCAGTAATAAAGTCAGTGAGACAAAGAATGAACTTTTGCAGATAGAAAGTGGAATGCAAGAATCTATATTCAAGGTATATCAAAGATGATATTTACTTGGTATTTGTTAAAGGGATTAAAGATGTTGTTCTATGTTAAAAGTATAATTATAATAGTTTTTGATTCAATAACTGTAGTTTTTCTCATTTAAATGTACTGGTTGGCCGCTAGCATTTCATTTCACCATTTGAGTTGAAGTAAATGCCATGCAGCAGTCTTCAAGGCTCTGAACATAGACAGCTTGACTTAATTTAGTAGCAAGGGAATTAAACAACTACCTGCATGTCTCCTAAAAAATTCTAATTAAAAGAATTGTTTTTTTTTTTTTTATGTAGATTAGTAATATCAGTCAGCAGCTTGATAAATCTGTAAGTGATGTCAATGAAAGTTTCCACATAGAGTTGGCATCGCTGGAAACGACTTTTGTCACAAAGGTAAGGCCTGGCTGCCTAATACAAAAACAAATGTTTTGAATGACTTTATATCATTCTGCATCTTTTAGCTAAAAAAATTCAGCTCTCTGAATGATTTGAGGGGCTTATATATGTTGTTATTAGTCCCACTGTTGCTTTGGGACTACTTGGAGAAAAGAATTCATAGAAAACTGAATGAACACATATTAAAACGGAAGACAATTATAGGTAGGATAATTTCCTCAACAGTCATTCAGTCAGATCAAGGGTGAAAAAGTTAGATGTGCATGCACAATACAGACGCCATCAGCTGTTGAAAGCTTTGTACATTTATTCCATGGTATGGCAGACAGTAAGGAGAATTGCTAGTGAGATCTTGGGAGTAGAAGGTTGAAATGATTGATGCGTGAGGGGGGGTGGGTACTCACTCACTCAAGGTTGGCAGGGCTTGACACTAACGGTAGCCCACTAACTACAGACTAGTAGAAATTCGGTTTTAGCTAGTGATTTATTATTTGGATTTCCACTAACCAGTTTGGCTAGTAAACAACTGAAATTGTCACACCAACAAAGATTTCACTAGCCACATGGCTAGTAAGTTGAGAAGTTAGTGTCAAGCCTTGGGTTGGGCTCTTAATTGAACAAATACACAACTACTTTTAAATCAATAAAAGCACTTTAGGACTTTTTACGTACTTACACCGTTAAACGTACAAATATCATGTAACTTGTACTCTTTGTTCTGTGTATTCACTGTGATCACAGCATGCTGTTTATCCACAATTCTTGACTGAAACAAAAATTTTTGTTGCTGACTGAAAAATTACTTGGACAATTATAATCAGAACCTACAGCAAATAGAAAAGGAATGTCCAGGAAACTTCTCAACTCCCAGAGTGATCTTTCAAACTTGATCAGTAAACTAAACCCACCATTTTGATGTAAAGTTATATTAATAATAATTTTTTATTATAAATAAGGAAATGAAAAGAAAATTCAGTAACCAGCATTTTTGAATAATATTTGGTAAGTACTGTAGTGTACAACACGAAATTTCCCCTTAATGTCAGACAATCTTATTTTGCAGTTAAATAACACGGCTCAAAGCCTGTCTGATGCTGATAGCACCTTAAAAAGTTCTCTGGATGTAATTAACAGCTCCTTGACTTCACAAGTGAGTAAAGAACACATTGTCAATGGGTATGAAAATCCTCGATAGATCATGTTGGAGAAGAAATAATTTATCGTAGAAATAATTGCAAATTTCCGGAAAATGGACATTGGCGCCTTCAAATTTTACACCATGACGTGAGCGCACGCGCAGCTAAAGCAGCCAGGTTCACAGTATTTTAAGGGAAACGTAAATTGGCAGGCGGACGTTTGCCGTTTCACGTAAACGCGGTGCTAGATCTCTCTAGTAGATCACAGATGACGTCGAAATATGGTCAAGGAAAAATGTGACGGAGAAAGCAAAGCAAATTTTGTCACTGACGTTCAAACTTGACTATTTATCCTGCAGATTCAAAGCATCAGCAAGTTGCAAGGACCTACAGGATCTCCAGGTTTTAATGGCTCCAAAGGTGTTCCAGGTGCACTGGGCAACAAAGGGGCCAAGGGAAATGCAGGTGTGCAAGGATCCCCGGGTCAGCAAGGTGTTGTGGGGGACCCGGGAAGGAATGGTACTGATGGTGTAAATGGACAACAGGGAGATAAAGGACCACAAGGTGATAAAGGACAACAAGGGGCTGCAGGACCCGGTGGACCCCCCGGACCCCAGGGACCACAAGGGCCTCCTGGAGCTGGGAACTTCAGTCAGTGTGTATATGATCATAGAGAAGAAACAACTACATCTGGTCCATCAGTGACACGTAAAACTATCTTGGAGGAGCCAGTTGTAAGTACCTGCTTTTTTTAAACTAGAAAAGTGTCTAATGTACAATCTTAAACACCAGGCAAGAATACAACAACTATACACATTTACGTGTGTACCAATATCATTTTTATTGTTTGCCAGAAGAAGGTAAGTAAACCAGCATCAAGGGGGAGGCAAGAAGGAGGTTGTTTCCTCCTGATGTGGCCCATGGGTGGGGAGTGGTGGGTAAATGACAAAGGTGAGTTCTCAGGTCAAAGGAGAACCACAAGTGATACTAAATCGCGGAGATACGCAATTTTTATTCACGAGAAGAGAAAATTAATTTAATTCATTTCTCCAAGCGGCCATGTAATAATCTGTTTATTTTACAAACACTAATGAAATAGTAAATTATCTCTCTTTCGATGCGAAAGGCGCGATTTATTATCTAATCGTAGTAACGGTGTCATTTTCACATGTTGAGATAACTATGAAGATATCACGTTTTCGCGCGGAAGCTCACTTGGTATTTCATTGGCGTTTATAAGTTGATATAGATACCAAACGAGCGCTTATGATCAAGACATACTTAACAAGAACTAACACATGCTTTGTATTATGCTGTCCTTGGACGTATCCAATACCTAAAAAGACATTTCCAACGGACTCTTCCGAGGTTAAGATGCGATCGTATTCTATGGCTAAGATTAATTCCATATTAAAAATCGTTAAAAAAAAGCTGTTCATAGCCTAAGTGCATACTGGTAACTTTATCTATGTACGTAGTATCTTTCTAAAAACAAACTCTCCAAGCACTTCAGATAAAACATCTGATGAAAAGGAAGGCCGAGTGAAATCAGACAAACCCTTGCAACGTTAGCATGAAATCTTTTCGTGTTAATCAACGGTTTTCGTCATTTTTAATTAAATATCATTGTTGTCACTTCTAGGGAAAGAAAATTCTGGGTGTCGCATGTTCGACTAATCAAGCAGCGGAATACAATTTAGAGGTAGAGAAAGTAAGTGGGAAGTATTTTTACCGTTGCATCTGCAGGGGAGAGTCTTCTTTGGTTACTCCCAAGGAAAATCAGATGAAATGCATCCTGCACTTCTGGGAGTGCCCATTGACAACATAATTGCCATCACATTACAGACTGAAGTTTGTTTACTATCACTGCTTAGTTGCATTTTGTTCAGATAAAAACAATAAAGAAACTGATTGAAGCCCAGCGTCTTCAATAATATTACAATTAAGAGTGACAGCTTTAAGTATTAGAGAACGTACATAAGTTTCGCGAAATCAGTAAGACAGAAAGGCTAGGTTAAGGCTTCATTTCACCAAAATACGAGAACATTAGTTCCGTTTTATGTACATGAGAAATATACATGCATGTTTTAAACGAGGAGTGTTGTTTTCTTATCAAGTAAAAAATCAGACTGTTAGGAAATCGGAATGAAATACAATTTAAATTGACGCTGTTTCCGTTTTAATTTTTCTCTTTTAATACCTTCAGATTTTGACTTTTGCCTTTTTTGTACTAAAACAATGATTGTTTTCCGCTTTTCCTTGTTTAAAATTTATTTCGTTGTTGTTGTTCATTGTAATGCTGTTAACCAAATTGAACAGTATTATATGGAGAGTAAACGTTATGTATCCTGGTGTACAACATGGAAATCTCTCTAAGCATTGGTGAGTCATAAACTAATTTTAAAGCAATTGTGTTAAAGTAATTTTTAATGCAATTGTGTTAAAGTAATTTTTAAAGCAATTGTAGTATCATTTGCGTTGTTATCTATATGTTGTAAGTTATTTTTAAGTTTTGAGTTAGGCTAGTTCTAGAGTAAATGCCAATCGAGTTTCAAAAGTAATTTGCGATTGTATCGGTTCTGCTCAACTGCGTCCTATGATTGGTTAAAAAGAACTCACACCACTTTTTCAACCAATCAGATGCCAAACCAGAATCAGCTGAACCAATTGGTTACTCCCGTTTTCTCGCGCTTTGGGTCTCTTAGTTGTGATTGGTTCCCCTTGGACATTCACATCAGTTCTGATTGGTCACTGTTGTTACTCTAGATTTGGTGCTTAAAACTCGATCGCAAAGTGATCGTTAACACACGGTAATGAAGTAATTGTCGTTCTTATTCTCACTTATTATTTTTTCGCTTGTTTTTTGTGTTTTTATCTGCTACTTGTTGACAAGGTGCTCAGACTGTATGCAGGCATACATGTTGAGGAGCAATTTTAATCTGTTAAGTATAAGAGAAAATTGCATTCAACTATTAGATGACATGACACGTCATGATTATCTCTCAAACTGAGAGATCCAACGTATGAAAACTCGATAATCTACTTCTGATAGTCTTTCCAAATTTTATTTTTTATCGGCCTTAATTTCAAGAAAAAATAAGTTGAATTATAATTTTATTAGAGTATATATTTTTGAACACGAAAGGGTCCAAAGCATTCTGCAGTTAGTGACTCAGTAGCATTTCTTGTGGATATGATTCTTTCAACCAAGTTGTTTGTCCGTGGTACGCAAGCTCCTTATTACTATTCTGTGTAGGAAACGATGTAGACGCACACCAGAATAAACATGATAAAACTGACAAACAATCAAACAACGAAAAACTAAACATGTTTTTTTTACATTTGAAACGATTATTCACAGGTTTCTGAAAAGCAAGGGGTGCCTCAAAGGTACCTAAGAGGTGTTTGTCCATAGAGAATATATTATGTTATTTAGGTCGTTTGATTAGTAACATAGTTTAACATTTGTAAAAACAGTTTACAAGGGCTATTAGGATATAATTCATGTTCCCTATCTA